TTTTGCCATATTCTCTTCGATTTGAATGATTCTGGCCTTCATTCGCCTCTTTTTCAAGTGGGTATTATGCGGATGGGGTGTGTCCAACACTTGAGGTGGTGTATCCAGTATTTATTCATTTTATTGAAGCATTCTTCCGTTAGTTAAATCGAATGCAAAGAAAATAACAAAAATGCAAAATGTCTAAATGCATGATGCATGAAATGTCTGAGGCATTGATCCAAAAAATGTGTCTGTTATTGGAGCCCTTAATTGATAGGAACTATGTGAAGTCCATTTGTCTGTTTCTTGAATTCGTCAGCAATGGTGTCCAATTTCAGCTATCGTTTTGCCATTGTTGTCTTTGAAGGGACTCCCATGATCAGTAACCTTCATCTTACCCCTGCAACCTCTGCCAGTCAGTTCTTCCAAGATAGACTTTCATTGTGCTTGATGTAGACCCGATTCATTCTGAGTCATTTGTAACGCATCAGAGTGATATACTCTTCAATTGTGGGAGCCACGTCTTTTGGATTGAATGTGACACATAGTCACCTTGTAGACTGTCCTCTGTATTTTCATCTCTTGTATTACAACCCTTTTGTCCATTAATGCATATTATTTACATTTAACAAACATATTTTTAGGGATCAATGGCCTCTTGTTATGATGCAAATTCTAAGAAAACAAACACAAAGGTAAAAAGTTAGTAAGTAAACACACACAAAAATAACAAAAGAAAGAAAGAAGAGTAGGAGAAGGAAAAAAGCATGGTTAGGGTAAAAATATCCTAGGGTTTGAAATGGGGTTTCAAGGTAGGATCTATTTCTCCATAGTCTCCCGGTTTAGGTTCTAAAAAATGGTACCCGAGTTCTCCTTGTCGGTGCCCCCTTGGGCTTGCCAGATCCTTAGTCCTAAACCCATCACAGGCTTGTGTTGACTAAGTTAAACTCGAGAGGACACATTCCCTTATATCTGTGCGGTGAATAAATTCACACGAAGACATAAGGTATATGAATCCTGAAGGCTATTTGCTAGGCATGTGCGGTGAATAAATTCACACGAAGGCGTCGCTTTCACCCCACTTAAATAAGGTTCGGAGCTAGGGTTTAGAGCCTTAAATGAAAAACAAGCTTTGAAGGCTGAAATCATTAGAAAACGATTAGTACAACTATTTACTCGAAAATATAATCAAAAGTAAACAATAAGTATCGAAATGTTACCTTAAAATTTAAACTTACCATTTTTCGTTAAAAAGATAACTAGAAATTACCTTAGCCTAACTCACTTACCTGTGTCCCCAGCAGAGTCGCCCAGCTGTCGGAACCGTCTTTTGGGTGGGCCCAGAATTGGGCTTCGACTTAGGAAAATGGATTAGGAGTCGCCACTGATCATTTATTTTAAAAATAAAACGGGTTACAGTCAAAGAAGAGTTAGCACCCTTGAACTGCCCTTGCGGTACTACATAATTTCCAGTTGCCTTTAATTAAGAAAATTGTAAGTTTAATTAAAAAGGTAAAATTGATCCGAATTACTTACCTCTGACGGATTAAGAAATGTACCCTTACGATGTTACGAAAAGCGTTAGTGGAAAAAATGTAATAAAATAAATAAAATAAAGAATGTAAAAAAAATAAAATACATAAAATGATAATGACAATGCAAGATAAATAAACAAAATAAAAAATAGTGTAAAATATAACCATAAATATAAAATATATAATAATAAAATATATACAAATAATGATAATGAGAAAGACAAACGAATAATGAAACATAACATAGTAGGAAAAAATAAATAAATAAAAGAGTATAATAGTAATAAATGGAAACCAGAAATTGAACAAGTATCGGGAAAAAAAAGTAATTAAATATATATAAATATTTAAGATATATAAAAAATGATAAAAAGGATAAATAGGATAGAATACTAAAAGAAAAAAAATAATAACCAATCAAATATATAATTAAAAGTAAAATAATAGGGGACTAAAATATAAGAAAAAACAAATTTGGGGTCAAAATTAAAGTTGTTTAACATGAAAACATCGAATTCAGGGGGAAAATCGAATCTTCCAGAGAAGGAGGGACAAAATTTGCGTGTGGGCGCGGGTCGGGTCACGGAGGTCCAATGGGCCAACTATATAACTTAATTTTTTTTAAAGAAATCATTTGCTTCATTTCCAACAAAACTCCCCTTCCCTCTTAGCTCATTTCTCTCGCCTGTTCTTCGGTAATGAAGAACACGACCAAGTTTTCCATAAAACTGGCCATCGACCGTCTCGCCGGCGTCGTTCATCGGTGGCAAACATAAAAAATTTTGCTTCTTTTGAAAGCCCTTGACCCCCTCGTTTCAAAAATCAAAATATTTTTTAAAACCAAGCCTCGAGTAATCGTAGATCTAAAGGAGAAGATCTCGGTTTCCCTTTTATGTTCATCGCCCCTTCACGCTTAAAACCAAAGGGAATCAACATGCAAGCCACACATAAGCCAAATAGGAGGTAAACAATACATTTTCTTTATTTCTTGCTTCGAAAAAAAAGTACAAATGCTCCTAGTTTTCACGATCGACACTTGCTCATATTTGATGCCTAATAATCTGTCTATTGTGTGTATTTGCTGCTGTGTTTGCCCGTAATTTTCGTGTCTATTTTGTGCGTAATATTATCTGGTAATCGTGTGTACATTAGTGCATGTTATTTATAGTCACAAAAATAAGTTATTTTCAGAGTCTTATTCGGTTTAGAACTTTAATGCTCCTTGGTTGTTTTTGTTGTTTTGTGTGGCGTTGGTGATGCTTTTCTTGCGCCGGAGAACTCGGGCTGGCCGTTGGTGAGGCGTGGAGCATGAGGAGTGAAAAACCGGCGCTGGGTGAAGTTTGCTAGGGTTCTGGAAACCTATCCCGAGCATGATTTGCGGGTCCAATTCCAGGGGGTCTTGGATACTGGGTTGGGTCGAAACAAACTGCTGGATAGCGTTTGGGCCTGTACATAAGTAAAATTAATTGCAAATATATATATTATATAACATAATTTATAATATTATATAATATATATAATATTAATTGAGGCGGATGAAATTAAATGTCTTCACTTCTCCACTTCTCTGAAGATCGCTCTCTTCATCGTTTATTACTTGGTTAATTCAGAGGAGCTGTGCTGATTTGTTTACTTCGTTTTGGTTTGTTTCACGAACCTACTGTTGCCTTTATTGCTAGCCAACTGGCTTGCACTTGTTTTAAGACATTGAGTTACTTTGTTTTAGTTTAATAAAAACAGGCGTTTCCTTGGTCAAAAAAATGAGTAAAGTATTTGACCTAACATATTCATTCTGGTGTCATTTTAGACTATGAATCAGAACATAAAAATGAGACAAAGTTTGTTGAATCATTGAGTTTCTATGAATAACTAATTATTTAAACTAATATTCTTATCGATCACATTACACTTATTCTTCTTGTTCATCACGGTCGTGCGCTAATAACCATGTGCGTATGCTTGAATTTCTACAAGAGTTTTACATATATTTTTTTTTCTATAAATCTTATAGAATCAATCTAACTTCATATTTATATATGTTAATTCGTCAAGGGTATTTTACATAACAATATACCACCTATAAAGTCTATAGATTGATTTAGAATTTTACTCGTTCTCACAAATTTTATAATTGCAGCACTAATTTATCGACAAAATTCGCTTATTACTTTACATAACCAATTAATATCATTATATTATTTTGCAATTACTTTATTACCTCATGTCTTAGAAGAATATGTTTCAGTTTTCCCATTGAAGGTTTATTCTTTGCATTAGCTATTGTTAGTTGACAATCACAATGCATGAGCACTGAAGCTAACGATCCTGTACCCAATGAAGTAAATGTTAAAGAAATCTTTTAACCATTCGACTTCATTATCAGCCAACTCCAGAGTAGATTTTATTGTAACATCCTAAAAATAAGGTCGATAGATTTGAGTAGTTAGATAGAATTGAATGTTTTATATGATTAAAAATGGCAATACATTAAAGATAAGATTTTCAAGTAACGCTACAAGGTTGTATATTTGTATGGTGCATTCAAAAGTAGGGTTCATGGGCAGTGTCTAAAAGAAGCATGAAATTCTTATATGAGACTTAAAAAGGAAAGTGACATAAGATATGCATATAGCATGTTCCTATTTAACTTATGTTGTAGTGTATGCTTGTTGTAATTTTGAGTATTCACTAAGTTCCTATCAACTCACTTAATTTTACTAAATTTGCTAATGTGGGTGGAGAAGGTAGGTAAGTGTTGTCATCATCAAAATTTATTTGGTAATCAATGAAATAAAAGCTCTCTTTTGTTTTAGAAAGGCAATGTGAGAGACTGTTTTTGGATTAGACTTGCCTATCGTTTTGAACTTGTTTCTATGGTCTTTAAAAGGATTTTTGGATGAGTTTTTATCTTGTTTGAGATGCATGATATGTTTAACGTTTGTTATGTGGATGTTAATTTTGCCTATGTGTAGGTCCAAGCATGTAATATGACTTAACATGTCAAAATTTAAGATTTTGTTTAAAGGGTAGAACAGGGGCAAAAATGACTATTTAGTCAAACATTTGAAGAATTTTTTGTCATTATATTGTTTAGTTAAAGGGTAAAATTGATCAAAACTAAAATAAATAAAAAAAGTGATAAAATTGTCATAAAATGAACATTCTCCCCTAAGAAAGGGGAGATCACCCCTACAAGATTCAAACATAGAAACTTACATTAAGACCGAGAATGTGAGATTCCTTGACCAGACACCCGCTTAAGGCAAAATTGAAGATACTCCAAAAAGCTTGCCTTTTTTTTTTTCTTAGATCAGTGTAGGAGAGAAATCAAACATATCAAAAAAACCAAAACCGAAGAGCATGTGATTTTGAATCCAAACTCAATCAAAATGCAACTCTCTAGTGTATTAAAACTCCATATATGTCAACAATTTTTTATCAATTAAAGTGTCTCCAACTGCAAAAAAAAAAACCAAAAATAAGCCTCAGGATTTGGCTACTACTGACCGTGTAAAATTAGGGGTCAACTTCCTGCCACCCTAAATTCCCTGCAAAATAAATCACCACAAGTGAGGGCAGTAAAACAGAAAGTGGAGTGCAAAATAAATCACCACAAGGATATATCAAAATATTATGATCCGACCATTTTACACCAAAATTATGGAGCTCAAACTAGGTACAGTAGGTGATGTTTAGACATAAAGAAAAGTGTAGACATTTAACAGTGCAGAACCATGCTAATAGACCATAATAGATCAACTTTAATCTTTAGCCTTCAAGTTCGCTTATTAAGCTCTTTTGTGGCAGCTTCGGGAACTACTGCCCTTCTCCAAAACAGAACTCATAAAACGAACTGGTTTTCTCAAAATCCTCCATGTGTTTTGTCTAAACCAAAAATCATAAGCATTTGCGGGCTAATTTTGGAGAACATTCTATGATTTCCAATCAAAGCCCTTGTTTTAATGCTCCACTCTTTAGTCTGCCTTTGATAATATTGCTAAAGAATAAGGGAATTATTTGATTTGATACTCATTCTTGATAGGCAGTAAACAGTGGCCAAAAACAGTTGCACATTCTATTGTTCTTTTTAAGAAGATGCAGGTATGAATCTAGTAAAAACTGATGAATATTTTGTTCAACCTTCATAATCCTGAATACCAATATAAAATTCAAAACATGGCAAAAGATGAGAGCAACCTAAGAACAAGATCTATAACCACAGTAGCATGACAAATTAACAAAAAATAAATAAACCATTTCTAGAGGAATAGGATGCCCAATAGATCAAACTTTATAATGTCCAGACGCACAAATGGAAAGTACATCATGTAAAATAACATCTAATACAAAAGGAAATGATATTAGTAAAACTTGGACAATAAACCACACATTTATGCATCCAAATAGTAGAATGATTGTGAAATCCAATAAGAGAAACAATGCCTAAACATACTCATTTGCATGACGTGGGCATGGATTCATTCACAAAGAAAAGCCTTTGAAAGCTTAAGTTTTTTCGCATTGGTCGTCTATCCCATCAAGCAGCTTCAAAAAGCCATAAGTTGAAGAAAGATCAAATGTGTTCTTTTCACTCACAACTTCATCATATCTTTTACCACTATCATCTTCCATTCTACCAACATTACCAAATATGCTACCAACAGGATGAATTATCTGACCAAACAACTGAAACGAATTAACACCCACTTTGCTTGAGCTGCGGCCCACATTTTCAGTAAATTCTGTGCCAAGCGAAACCATGCTGCTCTGGCTATCTGGTGACAAGTTGTCAGACTGTGAACTGCCAATGTTAAGCTCAGTGGATATCCTATTCAACTTGGGCTGCCAAAGGTTGCTAGATAAACTATCAGTGGACATCATCGGGGTATTCTCACTCACACAATTGGTTGAACCTTGAACGAGAAAAGGATTTTGCCTGGCCCCCTGCATGCTAGCAGGAAAACAATTGTAATTCAACAGTGATGGATTCATGTGCCTTATTGTTGAATTGGTTAACCCTGCCATAGGGAAGAAAATTTCTCCCTCTGCATCAGCCAGCCCAGATTCCCGAGAAAGCTTGTACTTCTTTGCCGAGGGAAATGAGGAATAAAGCGGTAAGGAGGAAGAAATTTCAACTTGCCATGGGCTCACTCTCCTTGTATTCTGGAGAACATCAGGATCATCCCATGCAACCTAATGATATAAAGAACGAAATCATGAGTCGGCAAAGGTAAAGAGGAAGATATTTTATAAGTAGCAAAATCGATAAAAACCTAATAACTCTCAGAAACTTAAATGTAAGATTAAATAAACCACATCCTAGCACAAATGACAGAAACCAACAGCCAAAATGTGGGCTCTGAAATAGAAAACCATAACACTAAGAAGAAATATAACAAGATATATTTCAACCAAGCATCAAAACTACAAAATAGCCGAATTGATGTGAATTGAAGTTACTAAACTGTATTTTTCTTGGTAGTCAAGTGGCTCAAAGTTGAACTTGAATACATAAGCACTTTGTTCTTTTAACAAATATTAAGTAAATTTATATATAACATGTTACTCCTAAGGAGAAACCAGTACATAAAAAGCCACTCAAAATTCACATAACAAACCACTCAAAAGTCAAGCACAGCCTATAAGAAAAGAATCAAATGGATGCAAATCATTCCCAATCTAAATCAATTACTAAAATCTGAATTGCACCACCCCAACCTCTAACCTTGATCGACTTCCTATGGAGACTAAATCCAAGATTTATTGAACATTTTTTTCTGGTTTCCATATCTCCAATCTCATTGAAAGGTCAAATTATTGATTGAGAAGCTCCATCAATCTACCATCAAAACTTGTTCTAAGTTGAAGTTATCAGCATAATACATTCGATTAAACATCACAATTCAAACAACTGAGTCAAAGCATTTTTACCAGAAGCATTCGCCAAGGAGAGCCAATCCAGGGGCCAGAATCCGACGGAGCAGCAGAAATAACAGTCCCTTGAAAGCACAACATTCTAGAGGAATCCTCCGTTTCAACTGCCATCTTCACTCTGGTCCCACCAGACCAGCATATACTGAGTCCAGCCTCCACCAACTCCGCTCTCACCACAAAATCAGTCCAACCGGGCCGAGGATAGTACACAACCTCGAATGGCAACCCCTTCGCAGCCCTTTCCGCCGATTCTGCAACTGCCTCGGCCTTCATCCAACCCCTTCCTTCCCCTTTCATTGCTCCTCCATCACTTGGCTCTCTCCACCTCCCAGAATCCCCTCCACCTTCTCCTTTTTTCATTGCCCGACGGACTCCAATAAACATTTTGCTATTTACATCCCTCATGAAGACAACGGAATCTCCAGCGATTAGCTTCTTTTGATTAACGAATTTGCTCCATCCAGTAGTGAGCAGATGCCGACGCGGCGTTCCACGGTAAATGTGGCGAAACTCCCAAGTCCCACCTCGAACGTCAGTAACGGAGAGAGTCTGAACCGGCGGTTCAGCATTGTAGTCAAGAGGCGGGAAAATAGAGTCAGCGCAAAACCGCGGGACCGAGAATCCGCCGCCATTGTTAGCATCGGACGGCGTTAAAATCTTGGAAAATGAAAAGATCTTATCAGAATCTTCAACATCGCCGTTAATGTCAAGAAATTGATTGGGAAGTCTAGAAGGTTCAGCAGGGACGAGAAAAAGTTTCACAAAGACTTCTTCAGTTTTCGGATCGGCGAGGAAATGAACGTCGGAGATAATGCAGATGATAAGAGGCCTGGAGTGTACCAGAGAAGACAGTAACGGCGCCGAACCGCAGGATTGCTCCACGTGTCCTTGAGGAAAGTAGTAAACCCTGGAGTTAACAACGGGGATTCGAACGGAAGAGCCAGCGCAAGCTCGCCAGATACTCGAATCGAGGTGGCGAACCTCCGCTGCAGGCGGCCGTGGAGGCGGCATCGGTCGACTTAGGGTTTAAAAGGAGAAAAAATATACAGAAGATACGGTCTGTTGAAAAAGGGCAGAATCGGTAAAGATGGTGAGAGTCGGAGAAACATGCAGGAAAGCAATCTGTTGGCGTCAGGAGAAATAGGCTATTATTTAATTGGTTCGAAATTTACAGTTTTAGCCCACGACCAATTTAAAACATACCCTCCCTACGTCACTCTCGTAATCCATTACGTGTACTACACTCTTTCTCTTTCTTATTTTGAAATATAGTAAATAATATAATACAAATTAATCCACATTTAAGATTTTCTTTTAAAAGCTAATAGATCGCATTAATCATAAATTTCATCATTTAAAATAATATTATAAAATATATATTTAAGATAAACATAAATAAAACATAACAATGTAATAAGTAAAATTAGATCTTAATTTTGAAAAATATTCAAAGTGAACTAATGAAAAATTAATTTTTTATTAATTGTAATCTTATCATACCATTACGATAAAAATTGAGGGACAACAAATGATTAAACGTTGAAAAGAAGTTGTGACACGAACAAAGAAAAACATGATCAAAGGATAGCATCACGAGAAGAACGAAATTAAGAAGTGAGTAGACAATAGAATATTTAATTCATACAATAAATTCATGACAAACGAAGAAATCAGTATCAAAAATAAGACCAATGAAAGAAATCTATATGAAAAGCCCGAATACAATGATTTAGAAAAAAATAAAAAGAGAAAACATTATTATAAATATATTAAAATATAATTAAAAAATAATGAATAGTATATTATATTATATTATTAACAACCTAACTATGTCCTTTTTCATTTTGACTATTATTTTTGAAATTTTATCAATCATGTCATCCAACTATTTAAATGCATTCAATCAAGTTACTTATTGTTAACATTTAACAGAAATATTGAAGTGAAGATTAATAAAATTAATATAATTATACATTTGATCCTCAACATTTATATATTCTATCAATTCAGTTATAATTTAATTATATCCATTTGGTCATAATTTGATACAAAATTTTGCAAATAAATAATCTGATAGTTGAAAGAAATTGATCAAGCAACCTAAAGTTTTCTAAGATGGTCTCAACCATGAGGCTGAACCCTTCGCTTGGGGATATTTTACTAGGAAAAGAATCATTTAGAAGGAATTGAATTTGAGTCTTCAAAGGTATTTGGACATGCTCCTACCACTTAACCAAGACAGATATTTAATTTATATCTTACAACCTATTATATTTAGATTTAGTTTGTATTATAACGAAAACAATAAAATAAATCTAATTTTGATTTCTTAGAGAATATATAAACATCAAAAATTATTTAAGCAAATTTAATTAATGATTTATAAATATTGCACGTCGTACACCGATACACACAATTAATGTGACATATCAATACATATTACTAATTAAATTGTCATTATTAAATAAATATGAAAAAAATATAAAACAACCCATTCACAATTAATCATTTTTATTTCTTATTTTAAATTTTAATATGAATATAATTATATTATATTTTTTATAAAAAAATAATCATTTTAATAATTTTTTTTTCTTTACGAATGAGACACTTGATTTATAAAAAATTTGCAAAATCATCCCAATATCGAAACCGCCGGCAATTCTATTCATCATTGAGAAATCGTATTATACAAAATACACTGTGTCGGAACTGTCTTTCGGGTGGGCTCGAAATTGGGCTTCGACTTGGATTAATGTGGTTAGAGTCGCCACCGACCATTTTAAAGAGAATTTAGGTGAGTCGGACACCATCTTACTTGATCTGCGTTGTACCAAAAACGTGTTGGGTTCGGGAGTCGGTTACGGTCAAGGAAGGATTAGCACCCTTGAACCGCCCTTTCGGTACCAATTAATTTATCGATTGTCTTAATTGCGAAAATTTCAAATTAAAATTAAAATTTAAAAGCATTCGATTCGAATTGTTTACCTTTGATCAGTTGGAATTACCACTGTGAAAATATATTAGATAAAATGAATATAAATAAAATAAGGATAAATTAAAAAATAATAAAATAAAATAAAAACTAAATAAAACAAAAAGAAATAATCACAAAAGGCTAAACCCTAAAAAATGTTAAATTTTAAAAAGGAAAAAAGTAAAAATAAAATAAATAAATAAAAAATGAATATATAAAAAAAGTGAAAAGGAAGAAAAGAAAAAATGTGGAGGAGTCAATGATAATTAAACTAATTATAAGACAATGACCAAAAAAGTATAGCACGAATCATAAGGTAAAATTTGAACATCAACCCAAAATGCCAAACACACAAGACAATGGCTAAAACACAATTATTATGAAATTACGAGATCAAAATAAGAAGAAACAAAACTGCATTAGTGACCATGACAGAAATGTACAAAGACCATAGGGCCTCTCTGATGAATAAACCGAGCGCAAAATTGCAGGCCAAACGATGTTGTTTCGCCCGCCCTATAAATAGCCAATATTAAGGCAAAAACAAGATATTTTCTCATTTTACCTAATAGAAGAGGGAGAGAGTAAGAGTGAGAGGGCTTCGTTTTTCCTGGAAACGCCTCAAAACCCGTAGATCTACAACAAAAAAATTCGTATTTTTTTCCTTCCTTTTTTGCTTTTGTTCGAATGGCTTTGGGTTTCTCTCTTGTTGATTTGTGTTGGTATTCTACTGTTTCATTTTCGGTTGATGTTCGCTTGGTTTGTTGTGTTTCTTTGATCTTGGTTGTGTTGTGATGTAGCCGTTTGTTCTCCGGTCGTGTTTCGACTGTGGTTCTTGGTTTACTGTGGGTTCTCTCTGTTGTGGTTATGTTGGTTGTTTTTGGGTCTATTGTGGCTCGATGATGGTTTGTGGTGGCTTGATGTTTGTTCTCGTTTTTCACTGTGGGTATTGTTGTGTTCGGTTTGCTCAGTTTCTGGTTTGATGATTCTCGTGGTCCCTAGATCGGTTGTCTCGTTGGGCTTTTATAATCCCTCACTGGTTGTTGTGAGTCCCGAATCGTGGTCGGTCATCCCGGGATGGGTTAGTCTTAGGATTCAGGCTAGCCGTTTCGGACTTACCCTTAACCTCATTGCCGTGCGACGCCCTTGACTACAGCGTGTAAACCCTAGCATTCTAGATCTCCCGTCGGGCCTGCTTGCTGGGTTAGGCTTGCATTGGGCTTTGACCCAAAGCTTGACTTTGGACCTGGACGAGATTTCAAAAAAAGAAAAATAAACAATAATTAATAAAACAAATAAAATAACAATAATAATATACTAATTAATAATATAATATAAACTATATAAAATATATATTTCAAAAATATTTTTAAACTATATATTATATTTTAAAAAAGCTTTCAAAACTATATATTATATAGTTTTAAAAAATGATTTAAAAATATTATATAAGTTTTCAAAAAATGTTTTTAAAACTATATATTATATAATTTTTCAAAAATGTTTTTAAAAACTATATAATATATATATATTCAAAATGATTTCAAAATTATATATTATATAAGTTTTCAAGATGTTTTAAAAACCCTATATTATATATTTTCAAAATGATTTCAAACTATATAATATATATATAATAAATAAAATTAAAAATAATAATAAATATGGACGAAAATGAGTGTCTACAACTGCCCCCTCTTTGTCCTTTTTCGTGGAACAAAAAATAGGACAAAGATAAAAAGACACAAATTTTCGTTTGGTAGAGTTGAAGAATAACTCCTTGTCGAATTGAGTTGCATATGGCTCATCCGTAGCGAAGTCGAGTCCATCTTGAATTGACATGAGATTGAAGTCGTAGTTCGGAATTTGAATCAAAATGTGGCTTCTCATTGCCCTTCGGTCTTCTTCTCGATTTAAAGGCCTTGGTTAAAAACTCGACTGGAAAATAGTTCCTTGACTTCACCATGTAATTGATAGGCCCTCGAGCCGAATGAAACTGAACTCGAAAAGTCTTCGTTGACATATAACTTTTCTCGACTTAAGCTATGCTGTTAAAAAATAGTTCCTTGTCACTAAGGCACGGCTAACCCAGATCTTTTTCTCGACTTGAAAACCTCGGCTGCAACCGGACAATAGTGCGATTGATGTGTCATCGAGCTAAATGGAATCGAACTCGATAATTTTGTTGACAGATAGCCCTTCTTGCCTCGAGTCATGCTGCAAATGATGTGCCTTTGAGTTGAGCGTAATCGAACTCGAAGGTTTTATGTTTCAAGAGAAAAATTTCCAGAGGTTTTTTTTGTATCAAGAGAAACAATTTCAAAGGTTTTTTTGTGTTTTAAGAGAAACTATCTCAAGGGAGACAAAATTTGTTTCAAGGGAAACATATTCAAAGATTGGTGTTTCAAGAGAAACTGTCTCAAGAGAGCCAAAACTTTGTTTCAAGGGAAACTGTCTCAAGAGAGACAAAATTTGTTTCAGGAGAAACTGTCTCAAGAGAGATAAAACTTAGTTCCAAAAGAAACTATCTCGAGGGAAACGAAATTTGTTTCAAGGAAAACAGATTCAAAGATTTTGTTTAAAGGGAAACTGTCTCAAGAGAGACAAAATTTGTTTCAATGGAAACTGTCTCAAGAGAGACAAAATTTGTTTCAAGGGAAACTGTCTCAAGAGAGACAAAATTTGTTTCAAGAGAAACTGTCTCAAGAGAGACAAAACTTAGTTCCAAAAGAAACTGTCTCAAGGGAGACGATATTTAATTCAAGGAAAACATATTCAAAGATTTTGTTTCAAGGGAAATTGTCTCAAGAGAGATAAAATTTGTTTCAAGGGAAACTGTCTCAAGAGAGACAAAATTTTTTTCAAGAGAGACAACTTTGTTTTGAGTAAATTAGTTTCAAACGAGACAAACCCTTGTTTCGAGAGAAACAATCTCAAAGGTGATCGATAATCTGCTTGTTCCTACATGTTAAAGAAATCCTTTCATAAACTCTAATCGTTGACTTAAGGAAGTCAAATCCGTGGATGGCATGTTTGCTGTGACACTAAATCACTTTATCAGGCACAATATCCTTCTTCGTGAAGTTAAAATCGTGGATGGATCATTCGCTGTGAAATTGAGCTTTTAATTGGATTTCATTCGTTGTGAAGTTAAAATTCATATTGTAAA